CTGATATATACTTTTCGATTTTGATAATGCGTACAGGTACCTTAAAGGCAGGTAGGGGGTCATTTGAGCGGTCCTCTGACCCTCTTTTATAAAAGACGGTTATTAGACCGCTTAAATTCAGTACTAAGCTCTTTTCAGTAATAATTTGCCGAGAAGACCGTCCTATTGAAAGAGACCGTTTTGTGGCCGTCCCATGGCCGTCCCCGTCTATATTCTTAAAATAGATTTATTAATAAGCTCGTTTTAAAAAATTGAAATAGTTCGATGACCATTTTAAAGAAGATATAGTTATAGATAAAAATTATCTTTTAAATAAAATTGTTTTAATAATAATTTAAGAAGTTCGACGCTAAGATATTTCTCGGTATCGCTGCTACAGTTTGTATATCAACGCTTTAATTTTTTTATAATCGAAATCGATCGATCTAGCAAAAGTTCAGCCGCGTAGATGCGCCCTTAGAGCACTTGGGAAGGGGGGTGGGTGATAAGGGGGTGGTATACCTAGCAGAGGGTAGACTGCTAAGTAATTGAAAAAAAAAAATTATTTGCTTATTAATCAACGTTTTCCGGGACGGTTTCAAGTTCGGGGACGGCCTTAAGACGGCCTTGGGACGGCCACAAGACGGTCTTAAAACGGTCTTTTTATAAGAAGACCGACTTTTATAAACGATTATTTAATCGATTAAAACCGTCTTATTTTAGTAATAATCTTTTCACGAAAAGACGAGCTCTTATAAAAAACGATTCAATCGATTGAAATAGTTTTATTTTAGCTACGATTTAAATAATTTAAATCGTTTGTTTTCAGATTCTATTCAATTTTAAGTATCGGCTTAGGGTGATCCACTAGCTATGCCAACCTCTTGGAATCGTCTCTTAAAGAGACCGTCATCGGATTGTCAGCTGACGGTTTAAATAACCCTTTACCTGCCTTTAAGGTAGGTATATATCAGAATTGCCGCGTATATATTAGAATAAGCGAGGAACACGAAAATCGGACTTTTATTTAAATCTATTAAAAAAATACGTGCATCACTACCAACTTTGATTTAATAATTAATACGTTTAGTGATATAATATATTAAATCATTTATTTTCGATCTATATAACGTTTTTTTGAATTAAAGTTGTGGTTATTAAGATATTTGTAATAAACAAGTAAATTGTATAAATTAAATTCAAAGTAACCGACGATTATTAAAGCGGGATAATAAAATTTGCTTCTTTTTAATAAATAAAAAATTAACTAATCAATATATCGTAATTATTTTTGTATAAAAAGATGCACCTTATTAAGCTTAATATTAATCAATTAATCGAAATTTAATTTCAAGTTGTTATTCCTTTATTATGTTGAGTTAAAATAGTAAAAACAATACTTTTGATATATACTTTTCGATCTTAGTAATGCGTATATATCAGAATTTCTGCGTATATATTAGAATAAACGAGGAATAAGAATTGCGCAAATTACGCTTTTTCAAAATATCTTTAGAAGAAGCTATTGCAAAAAGGTAGCGTTATAAAAGCGGGGTAGGGGGGGGCGAGGGAATAGCTTGCAACTTGAGCTTGCAACTTGGGAGTTAGAGCTTTTTGCTGCAACTTCGATTTGTATAGTGCAACTGCAGTTGCAAGGTTAGATGCACACTTTGCAAGATTTACTTGCACGAGCCATACAGATTGCTCAATTCTTGCATCTTGACGTGCAACTTGGAGATGCAAGAATATTTTGGTGGTGCAACTTGGCTTGCATCTGCGAGCCATACACACCCTTACATATTCACATATGCTCTCTGCGGTTGGCCTCCGCGTTCCCATTTGTTTGTGCTTTTATAGTACCTCCGCGTAGGTCTTCTTCTAATCGTAAAAAAATGCTTCGGAAGATATACCCGTCTGGAGGGTGTAGGTGTGTTCGTTCTCATCAGAGCTCCTGTCCATTGGGCGTGGTGCGCCGGCCTCCTTTCCCCAGAGGCTAGCGGGAGGTGGACGGCTTTCGTTGGCTAAAGGGTATGCTCCTAAATTGCAATGGGGCTGAAGATTCCGGGGAAAAGGAAGAAATTGCTCTAAGCAATAGTACCCCTCGTCGGAGTACACTACGACCGTATACCGTAAACTGGTGAAAGTCGTTTCGGGTCGGACCGAATGGAGCAAGCCACCGGCAGAGTCTATACCTACTTAGTCAAGCGAGCTGTACTACGTATATGGGACCTTGCCAGAATGAGAAGCTGAATGTAAGCAGCACTTTTAACTGTAACAAACTTCAATCCATAGCTGTGATAAGGTTGCGAATGCTTTCATACTACTACTACGTACTACGTATTTTCTTATACTTGGCTCAAAGGATTCTCTCGTCGTTAAAGCGTATCCTATGGAGAATTAATAATCAAGCTACAAAGCTTCTGAAAGAGTACGAGCGATACGTTGAGAATTTCTTAAGACTAATTCACCGAGTTTCCGTATACTTTATCTTCGGTTTGGGCTTTTTAATTTCATTTAAATCGATTTCTTCTTAGAATGATCTTGAACCTAGAAGAGACCCCGATACCATTTAGTTTCTCGATGGCTATACTTATGCAATTAAAGGAGTTAGGATCGTAGTTTGAAAGAATAAGCGTAATTTTTAGATTGAGCGAAGAGCTACTTTGATCTGATACTACGTAGTACGTACATCTTTGCCGATAGTGCTGTTCAGCACATTGAGACTAAGATCATCTAGGTATCATAGAATTTCAATCGATAAAAGAGATTAAAAATTGAACCTTAAAAGAAGGCCCGATATCACCTTCAAGTTATGGTCTAATTCGATAAGATAGCATGTGGGATTGCATTGCATATTATAAGACCTCTTATTTTTTTTTAAAAAAAAAATCTCTTGAAGGATTCGGCGTAGAAATCGGCATGATCCCTTTTGTAGCCTCACTAGTCTGTTTCAAACTCTCGATATACATATTAATCGGGTTGATCGAAATCGTTCTTAAAAAGAAAATAAGGAGATGCTACTATGTAGACGAATAAAAAGCGAAGCTAAGAAGTGTAGAGAAGTGGTCGTTGCCGGATAAGCGAATCATAACCACTGATATTATACCAATCAAGGCAAGTAAGCGTCCAAGCTAATGAAAAAGAGATTGTGATAAAGTCTTTCGTCGATACATGTATCGTATTGGTATGGCTCTATGTACCACGGTACAGGCGTAATTGTTACACCCTTCAGGGTAGATTCTCGCTGTTTTTATAATCTTTTACTTTATCAGACTGTATACCACCCTTCCGTCGCGATTAAAAAAACGCTGCCTTCTGGTTTTAATGAAAGGAACAATTCTATCCTTCTCGATTGAATCCTACGCTTTTAAACAACTCTTTTCGATCGAAGGTAGCTTTAATGTGCTTTAAGATATTTCTCTTGAATATATCGTTTATCTACTACGGTACAGGCGTAATTGTTACGCCCTTGAAGGTGCCTCAAAAGTTTAGTTTCCACTTTAAGCCCCATGGTTACCCTAACCTTACACCGTCTCGATCGAGTTCAGATCAAGAAATAAAGCTGGCTATTCGATCGGCTCGATACTACAAGCTTTTAAAACGGCTAGTACCACTACAAATCAGATAGCGTATCCTTTAGTACTATTTTACTGAAATCTTTATTCGAAATAATTGTAAAAAATCTTAGTAACGATTAATATAATAATTGTTAAACAACTTTTGGAATTCATCGGTTCCTATTTTTAAATTCGATCGAGTTTCTCAGAGATTGTGTTTTAAAAATTTCATTCGATTTTGGCTCCTCGACGTGTAATACCAGTATTACTACGTAAATTCCAAATACTTTCTCGGCTGAGCTTACTTTCCGTCGGTAAAAAAATTCTTTATCTCGATGATCGTCGGTCTAATCAACGTGTTCGCGGGCTAACGTTAATCTATCGATAGCGTATTGCAAATTAAAGGCGTGCTGCAAAAAAAGAGGAATGATTGGATACACTAGATATGCTGGAAACGAAACGAGCTGAAGAGTAAACTCTAAGTGTGGCATGAAGCATTCAATTCGGCAAATGCCAAAGCGATTGCGGCGCAATAACAAGAAGAAGAAAAAAAGCTTCATACCACGGTACAGGCCTAAGTATTACCCCTCGAGGGTAGGGAAAACAGGGGGTTTAAAGTGGAAACTAAACTTTTAAGGCACCCTCGAGGGGTAATACTTAAGCCTGTACCGTGGTATGTAAGCTAGAAATAATGTAGATGTGGCAAGGAAATAAAGTCCTTCGTTCTGCTGGGCGGCCTGCTACACTCGGTTAGACCCGGAACGACCTTCACCAGTTTATACGGTGTATCACCTAATAGAGAAACACCCTTTCTTTGGCTGAGCGAACATGAATGATGACGCTGACATCGGGAGGTAGGCAGGCATGTCAGTTCAAGGATCAGATGAAGAAAGGGATCTGCAAATCTCTTTTGCAAACTCCACTAGTGCTGCCAGCAGATTTGTCACCCATGTAGAAAATCATCCCAAATATAGAGTTCAATATACTAATTTAGGCACAGCCAACCATAGGGGGCGTTGAAACCCCTTTCCCCAGTTCAGAAAGATCAACGCATGGGGACAGATATCGCATAAACCCGACAAATTGGCTGGCGCGCGGGGCTGCCAATAACGTATAATCTTGGTCTTCTAACTGATCAGTGCGTTGACTGCGCAAAGGGCCGAAATTGATCTAGTAGTACTACGACTGTAGATTCAGTTTGAAGGGTTACAAGTCAGGGGCAAGGGTTGCGGGGGTAGTACTACTACTACTAGTAGTAGTTGTCAGTTGAAAGCTTCGTAGTACGTAGTATAAAGGTTATCTTATCGACAATACTACGTACCACGGTACAGGCCTAAGTATTAACCCTCGAGGGTGCCTCAAAAGTTTAGTTTCCACTTCAAACCCCCTGGGTACCCTACCCTCGAGGGGTAATACTTACTTACGCCCGGGATGTAGTAGTACTATATCACTGGGGAAAAGAAAAACCGTTCCTTATTTGTTTCTAAGCTTTTGTTCATCACATCGATTAACAAGCTTTTAGAAATCGGGGAGCAAGGAATTCTTGAAATGAAATCGCGAAAATGAGACCTCGAAGCTGGTTGCGAAGTTGTATTGATGTTGCGATTTACTATCATTCGCGTTTGGTTACTATCTTAAGTCCAGTTTCGAGGACCTATTTAAATCGCAATGCGGAAGATAGTTCGTCCTATCTTTGTTGCGGAATGGGTATCCCTACGTAGCAGAGTTCAGCTGATCGTCGAAATAGGCGAATACAAGATTTGAGGACTTACTTTTCCCCGCTTCTTATACGATAAGGTTTTCGAAGAAGGTTTACCCGTAACGTTGTTCTAAAAAGTCTGCGAGTCGGTTTCCAATAGAGACTTTGATACTGAAATTATAGGTCACTAGAAATAGAAAATGCTCTTTTGCAGTTTCTAATTTCAAGATGTTCGAGGTTTCGAGGTTTTAATTCGGTCAATTAGAACCCGAAAACATCCTCGAATTTGGACTTCGTAGAGTTACCCAACGCGCCCTTACGCAGTATAATTAGACTGCAGTCGAATCAATATCAAACGTGTCGTCAGCCCTCTTCCAGGAACCTGCTTGGTGTTCTCTCTCTGGGCATCGATGCTGTTGATATGGAGTACCTATTTCTGTTCCGGTTCGATTGCTTTCAGAAAGCAATCGGGCCGAACATTACGACAACCCACTTCGAACGTTCTAGGAAATCAAAGGCGGCTTGTATTTACTTTATTGGATGTGATATAGCCATAGCCATTGGCAAGCAACGACATAAAGCTCATAGCGAGTGGTACTTGATTCGCAATTTATAAAATATGTAGATCCTTTCAGGATCCATAGCATTTGAAAGTTCCCACGCCTTGACTACCAATAGACGGAAAATTGCGCTCACATGAAATTTTTGGCGCCGACTCATTGGACGTACTACGTACTTGAGAGTTGTTGACACCGTGCACGTAGTCATGATTTTTAAGCGAGGACTTTGTAGCTGATCGATATCTGGGAACAGATGAGGCTTATTTCAAATCCATGGTACAGCGAGGTTTTAAGCTTTCTGCGGGTTTCGAGGGCATCAAACAAACGTGCGGGTCAAGTATTTTTATTTTTATCTCGCTATGGCCGCTCGATGGGAGCGTCAGCCGCTTCTCGTACGGGCTGGGGACCTCCCGTGTCTTGACCGTTAATTACCGCCGGCCGATACGTTCAGACCATGTCGCAGGCTTACCCTCATCATATCTTCTGAGGTTTTCATACACCGACTTGTGATTCAGGGGGCTGGGGTTGAATTAGCATGTCCTCCAGGATTAGGGGTCTAACCATGTACGAATTCAATCAACCCACAAGTTTGCCTCGACGGCGCTTCGGATTAGTATAGATAAATACCATGGAAACCACTCTTCCAAAAATTCTTGTCAGCCATCCCCCGGGTTCCAGTCGTCAAGATGCAGTTCTGGAAGTTATGCTGTTCAATCATTACACTCGCTTCTACAGGCAAGCTATCCGATTCCAAGTGATCTGTTCGATTTCTAACTTGCAAAGCCCGCTCACAAGCCGCCCCGACGCCTGCCAGTTTTGAAGGGCAGCTCTCTCATGTTAATCGCCGGGCCTCACGACTAGAGGCGAGAACAGGCATGCAGTTACGCATTCTCCCCGTTGGAGCCTCTATAGTCTTCGGGACAGGCTCGACAGACGGCAATGGATTTCGCCTTGGCCTCAAGACTGCTTTGATCTCATATGGGAACGATGTCCAGATGCTTGGAACCCAACACGGAGGTAACATGACGGACAACAACTGCGATTGCTGGCCAGGCAATCGAACCGACGAAGTCGCAGCCAAAGTACAGGCTGGGATGTCCTCCATCTCACCCAAGCCGAACGTTGTCCTCATCCATGTTGGAAGCAACGATCTCCGCCAGAATAAAGACCCCGCAGTCATGGGCGAAAACCTGTCAAACTTTCTGGATTACCTGTACCAGACATTACCTGCGGCACTGATCGTCGTATCGACCCTACTCCCCAACAGCGCGATCGAAGCCGGGGCTGTTGTCTATAACGCAAACGTCCGCTCTATTGTTGACGCACAAAGCCGACTAGGGAGAAACGTGTATCTTGCAGATGTGCACATCCCCGAGTTGACCCCGAGCGACATGTTCGACTATGTCCACCCCAATGACATCGGATACGCGAAAATAGCTGGCATCTACGCCCGCAAGATTCAGGAAGTCATAGGAAAATTAGGTACGAGGTGCACCTGCTGCTCAACCACCAGCCACACTACAGATCTCTGCATTCCAGCCTTTTCCGATTTAATCTGATCAAGCTTCTGACCTCTTATCCTAGCTCCTCGTGCGTCAGCTGTCAATCCGCCTTCCTCGACGTTGTCGTCTTCAACACCTGCCAGCGTGTACCCGAGCACAGTGACAAGCTACACATTCTCACAGACTGCAACTCTCGGCGTGCCATCTGGCACCTACACCGAACCAAGTCCAACACCGAATCCCTCTCCCACCGCGGAACCGACATATGCGATGGCCTCCGGTAACGGCACCCTCAGCATGGTAAATGTGACAACTACCGCACTCCCAAATCCCGTGCAGTATGTCGCAAAAGGAGGATCGACCTCTCTTTACCAGCGACTCAGTCCTCTCGAAAGATTCCTCGTGCAATTGGTTGGGATGACAATGGCATATGCCATAGCGCTATAGTCTGAGGAAGAAGATATGCCTTATGCTGTAGTCACCACTAACCGGACCTCCTCCAACGTCCACCGCAATAGCTGTGGCGTCGAAGGATCCCTAATACTTTCTCTCACGTTGTCCATGGTGTCGGAATACAGCCGGACAGCAGACCGCGCGGTAAAGCAAATTTCGGCGGGAAACCAACCACCAACAACACACACTCAACCGCCGTGTCTGGACCGATAACCACGGGACGTGTCTCTTTTCTTCTAATCCAAATCTAACTAAACTCCCACCTTTTAAAATTTCGAATCTCTCGAGGTTCACTCAGACTAAAACAATCAATCTTCAATGAAATAAAAATTAATCTTCAAACTCAATCCTCGGGCCGGGAAGCGGAGAATGCAAATCAAGCGTCGTCGTCGTCAAGCACGAGCACGTGTTCCCGTTCGCTCAAACCCCTCCACCTCGTGCTCCTCCCCTGTCCCTTACGGCCCGACGCTACCGAAACGCTACTCACTGGAGTCGTGGCGCGGCGTTGGCGTGGTATGGTGTGGCAGGGGGAATTCCGAAGTCGTTTGTTTGCCTGCCATTACTCTGCAGAAACCAGCAGAAGTTGATAAGCACCTATCTACTCACGTCGCTTAATTTCTTCTTTTCTTGTTCCGTTGCCCCCCGGCGGCGAATGCATCGATCGAATTGAATTGAATTGGATTCGGGGCATTTGTTCGCCGATCTGGAGCCTCTCTCGCTTTCTCGTGTAATGAATTTATGAAAAGTAATGCATTGGGAAGACCAGTTTACTCTCGTCTACGGCCTCGTGGAAAGAGGGGTGGAATATAATTATAGATATATGTATATATTCAATATATCTTTTCGGCAAATTCTTACATTCAGCTCGGAGCGCGCTAGTATATCTACGTTGCTACCTACGCCAGGTCTTTCCGTCGGCTCTGTACATGAAAAGTAAACACCACGTGCTTCGATGTTCAATCAGCTGATCTGATTTAACCCCGCGATATCCTGGTCCTCGCTAAATTCCGATCAATTTACGTACTGTAGTACTACGGTATACCGGTACTCGTACAGGGTGTAAGCAGAGGTCACATGTGGAGGCTGTGCGGAGGGAGTATGCAAGCCCTGAGGCCGCAGCAGTCTTCTCCTGCTTCAGCATCAGTGCCTCAGTACCACCCAACCAGTCACTCCATCGGCCGGATGAGAGCGTCGCAGCCGCAGGCGGAAGGAGATTGTCTGAGTGACTGCACCGCCGAGGCTTTCTGCGGGGTGAGAGAAGAGAGGAGGACGAGGACGAGGAGGAGAAGAAGACGTGGCAAAGGTTTGGTTTGATTCATCCGAGGTAGGTATGTATGGCGATGCTACCCGGTATGTACCGGTGCAACGCCCAATATCAAGGCCAAGCCCACGAACGAACGTTATGTTCGAGCAGAACGGCCTGCAAACGCAAACAGCCTTCATTTACCGTACTCCGTATGGCAAGGCGTTTTTGGCTTCGGCGAGCCGTAATGTGTCTCGGTAGACAGACTTACGGTACCTATTGGGGGTCGAGCATGGGTTCCGTTAGGCTGCTCACCGAGTAGGATTTTTGGCACCAGGGGATAGTACGTGTACGCTTGCCTGGACTGGACTAGACTGGACTAGGCTGGCCTAGACTGGACCGGACTCGACTAGATATTGGGAGTTGGAGACAAGCGAGAGGATGCTCCTAAGAGTTGAACCTCAGTACTTACCGATAGAACGGTAAGTAGAAAGACATCCATCCCTCGTCACCGTTCCTTCCCCCTTGGTACTGGGAGTGAGCGAGTTACCAGCAGTGACTTCATGACGGACTTGTCACCATCCAAAGCCCAAAGCCAAAGTGGAGCTCAATCCCATCCAATCCACATTACTAGTGCCAATACAGCCACACTATTCCCGTATCTCCCTAGCGCTTGCTCGCTGTGACTCATTTCTCGCTACACCCGATTTGGCCTAACGCGGACCCTTAGCCCTCAGGCCGCACGGCCACAAAAAGATTCGTCTCCCCTCCCGCACTTCTTCATGACCTTCTCTTTTTCACCCAAATCCCCATCTTCTTACCCACAAACATACAACCACAACAACTTGAACTTCAACCCCCGCAACCACAACAACCAGAATCCAACAAACAATCTCAGAATAGCGACGCACGTCCACCATGTTCTGAATCCAGTCGTTCCGACTACTCCGGTACCCTCAGTCACCATTTCGTCCCAACTCACCAACCAGTACCCCACCTCCACAATTTTTCCCTCACCGGAAAATCTGTCGTTCCACGTAGCCTCCAGCTTCGCAATTCCCGACGACTTTAACAACTCTCCCGCCACCACGGATTCTAACCCAAGATGGCTTCCCTCCAGTTCATCGAGCCTGCCGGCACAATCTTCTCAGCAACCCCAGTATCAGGATCTCTCCCATCGCGAGCCCAGTCCGCAATCGCAACATCAGGACTTCGTTCTGTTCGGGAGCTCTCCCAGCGTTCGCAGTACCCCTAGTCTGTTCAACACGCAAGCCACGCAAGACCAATATCGTCGACACTCAGCCCATCTCAACTCTGCCCAGTCTTCGCAGAATCAACGAGTAACCGCGATCATTCAAGCAACTGGACATTCTATCACCCCATCGGTCCTCACCAATCGGTTTAATCTCCCTGCGCAGAGTCCTCATCAGTTCTACGCTTCCTCCGCGTCCCCGTCTGCCGCGACCTTGCAGCGACAGCAACCGCAACAGACTCGTCCTCAAGTCCCCCTGTTTTCGCAATCAACTGGCAATATCCAGCAAGCGCCCAACATGGTTATGCAAGGTATATTCACCCACCCATTACCTGCGAACGCTGGTGACTCACACATCCACGCAGATATGGATCTTTTTGAACAATTCACCGCCTTCACGGGTGAGGCGATGACTCAGGGCTCATTTCCTTCCGCCCACTCTTCGCCCGCCGTGCCAACCACGTACGATCCACAAATGAACCTGTCTTCCTCAAGCTCCACCAACATGGATACTATCTCTCCTTCAGACTTGCACCGCGATACCTTCGGGACTGCTCCGAACTCATCTGCTTTCACGAATCTGACCACTCCCGAATCGCAGTACTACCAGTCGCCCGATTTTGGACAAGTTGACGCTCCTCCCTACGACGATCGATCTGTTACCGGCGACGCATGGTTTCCTCTCTTCCCTCAGGATAAAAAGGCTGAAAAACAACAAACCCAAGTCAGCGAGTCTCCTCTTCTGCCGGAGGAGGAACTCGAAGTTTCAGAAGTACTCCGTCATCGTCGCTCTGCCACTGCATCTACTCAGCCTAGTGCTGGCATCCGAAAGCGAGACAAGCCTCTCGCTCCAATCGTTGTTGAAGACCCCCACGACCCGGTGGCAGTAAAACGAGCGCGTAACACTCTGGCTGCTCGCAAATCTCGACAACGCAAGATGGAGCGATATGTGGAACTCGAAGATGAAATCGAAAAGTTGAAAGCTGAGCGTGACCACTGGAAGGGCATGGCTTTGAGTCGGAATATACCCTCTGGCGTGCATCAGAGTTGACACGCTTTTTACGATACACCTCCGCCTGGCAGCACCTCACATGGATTGGGGGGAGGAGCTTGAGGCTCCTGGCCCTCGGAGACAGTGGTAGCACGCTGCAGCATAGGAGAACAGCAATGACGCTACTGTCGTGGAATTTTTTGGAAACTTTCCTTGTACCTTTTGCGTTTTTTTAACTGGTGGTTCCTGAAGGAGTTGTCCAACACCTAGTTCACGAAGCGTCTTTCCACGATGGAAATGAACATTCTTGGGCCTGTTGGGAGGACCTCGGACCTTGTGCAGGTTCTCTGGCTGGATTTTCTCGAAGCGTTATGGCTGTGGTGTCTCCCCTCTTTTAGGGATGGTGACCGGCCTTGTACTTTGGTACACCTGATACAAAGCGTTGTTTACAATCTCATACTCCACTTCCCTCCCTGCTCTTTGAAAAGTGTGCCTGTGATGATTTCCATATTAATTCTTCTATCCGCCTCTACTTTCTCCTAGCTAATGTAGCAGAATTTTCAAAGTGTACAACAGTCACTGCGTTCTCCCTGATACCAATATGTTTAGTCGTCGTCGCCGCCATTAACAAGCCCATCGTCACATCCTCGCGCATGTTTCCTATTTTCATGCCATATGTCATCACTATGAAACATTTCCAACAGAACACAAGCTCTCCTTCTCTTCTTGTTAAAAGCCGCTGCAAGTACCCCCACTCCGATCTTCAACTCAACACACAATCTGCAGAGACCCTCACCGAAAAATCCAGTATCCCCTGAACCTGATAATCTCAGCCTATTCGTACCGCACCAGTCGCACCTCAGATAAGACAGGGCAGGACGGAGCAAAGACGGAAGGACGTACAACAACGTTATGGCTCAGCTAATTATGCTGGATCGTGTCCGCGAGCCAATTTGTAGGCAAGCGAGCTTGCTCACGGAAAGGCCGCCCTGCTCCGTGTGCTCCTTCATCTTGGACACTCACAAAAAACCACACGGTGGCGGTGAGAACATTGTCTATGCGCTTCGGGATCATAGGGGAAGGGACATTTGTATGCGCATTCAACGCCATTCTACGGAAGGGACTTTATACGTATTGACGAATGAAGTCAAATTCCGGAAAGCCAGCGAGACTTGCGGAATCACAGGCTTCCAGAAGGTCATCAAGTATGCCCTCGAAGGGAACGACCTTATACATGCTCCATTTATTACGCTAGAATGGATACATGGCATCAACCTTCGTTGGACGGACGATTATCCTATGGATGTTGGAGATCGGATAGAGTTCTGCGCGCAATAGCCAGGATAACAATCGACCTCCTCAAGATACAGAAGCATGGCTAGTATTTCTCCCAGAACAAAACTCGCAGCATCGCTAACTTCTATAAAGGCACCTCTGCAAGAGAACATGTCAAAATAAAAACTATTCGCAAGATAGACCGAGCAGAACGTCAAGAATATAGGGGTGGGGATGTCGGAGGATGCCGCAGACAGTCCAGCTTGATAGAAAAGTAATGGATCCCGGCTCTCGACGATGCGCCTTACGTACTCGTCCATGGCGACCTCAGTCCTGATAACATTACTGTTGATGAGAATTCGGACGTACAAAGGTACAGAGTCTAGCATTTTGTGTGATACTTACTTACTGCCTATAGCGTGATCGATTTAGGGTGGGCAGATATAGTTCCGCTTCAATTTGCTGCAGTATATCCACGCTTTTTTACCCACGAGCCGGTCCGGATTTGTTCTGGTCCATTACACACATTACAAAAGTCGGTTTTCGATTGGCAGAAGAAGAATACTACTGTAAGGAAACGAGACAGGCAAATTTATCTTGATTGTATCAAGGGGAGAGCTTTTGAAGGTGGTATTGCAAGCGACTATCAACAATTACTTACTCGCTCCGACGAGAGCGGAAGATACTGGTGGTTCAAGGCTATAAGCGAAGCTAATATTCACGAAGAAATGTGTGCTTGTGACTGGGATAATGTCAAAGAGAATGCTTAGGAATGATTTCAGTTCCCCAATTCACGTGTACACATTTATTACAAGTATAACAAACCTGTTGAAACAGATACCACTTAGGATTTCGGTTGCTTGTCCAAGTAGTAGTATCAATAAGAGGTAACGCGAATTACAAAGAGTAAACAAACAGACAGTTCCAAGTACGAGTAATTTGTATGATCCGAATTGAATACAAAGTTGAGCACGAAGCTCCTATCTAAAGAGAGATACAAAATCATTATGTAGAACCCTTTATGCGTGGACCTCCAGTGAACTACTGAGGCCATGATCCTCGAGACCCAGCGTCGCTCCATCACACGATCCTAGTCCTGTGAATTTCCTGGATCGCTTCTCGACAAGCTAATCCTGTCATACTAATGAAATTACAAACAAGTGAGGCTTTCGCCTGATGGCTCTTCTCAATAACCGAATCCGAGATACAATCACGGGAGCGATCTTCACAATCAACAAGACTGTGTGATTATATGGGAGCCGTGACCTTTATGCACGCCGTTACATTCTGGACAAAGGCACCTGCAGCCACGCTTGGTGAAATCCTCTGTGAAATACCATGCTGCTTCCCGGGACTTCCCAGCTGCAAAGATCTCGCCCTATTCATAAGATATTAGATCTCGCATGAGAGAAAGTCAGAGGTGGGAGTCTGCTAACCTGAGCAGGAGTCAGGTTGATGTTTTAGTGCGGCCTACGCCAACCTCACCTCAAAACGGCCCGAAAATCCATCCCCAGGGTATCGGGTCAAGCCAAATAGCCCCTTGAAAGTGTGCTCGTTCACTTCCGTTGAGAATATTTGGAAGAAGGATTGCGTAGAGAAGACGAACTTCTGAGAGTTGGGATCGGACCATTGAGAAGCCTGGTCCAAACTGGTAATGCCTGAATTAAGCATAAACTCAAGAGGATGTAGCTGGAGCTGGTCGCCACTTTGCTCGAGGTCCTAGGTAGTTGTGGTCATGTTTGATGCTAGATCTCCCTCGGGTTTGATGGGGACCGATGTGCCATTGAAGTCCACGAGACGACCTCCAGGCTGGAGGATAAAGTGCTGATGGAGGAGTTGTAGGCCAAGAAAGTTCTCAACCTCGTGTTTTTAAAATAATGGTGCCATGATACCAGCAATGAAAGCTCTGCCATCAACTGAATCAAACTTCAGGCCGGCTTCTGTGAAGCTTGGAAGTTTGTTGAATGTATCGGTATTTTAACCTGAAATTAAGACCGCCTTGATGGAAAGGAAGGTTTAGTAGACTACCTGAATGTTCCCTAGGACGTTTCTTAAGAATGAGGTCTCTGATAGGGAACTGACTGGGTTTTATATATGAGTCTGTCCAGCGTTCCAGCTCAAATACTGACAAAGTCTGAAGACACAGCTGCTTAAAGCGACTGTACGAGCTGCATAAATTATACAGTATCTCAAAATCCTATTAGCTCTTCGATTCGCATTAGGAAAGAACGAACGCCTTACGCAGAACAAAACCCTTGCCGGCCTTGCGTTGACATCACAGTGCCAATGATAAATAGCGAAATACATTGGAATTAGTATATTGCAAAACATTAGCATATACTTTCATACTTCCCGAAATTATGATCGGAAGAGGCATGACTCACTTGCATTTGATTTTATTTCATTTTATTTCATTTCATCTCACTACTCATTTGGCGCTAGGGCGTATCTATTCAAACGCTACGTATGGATAGTTTGCATAGTGCACTAATCGCGTCACGCTCCTTTATGAACGGCTTAGTCCCATTCCCTAAGGTCATTAAAACTCTGTATATAAAACGAAGCTAGGAAGGACAAGAACCTGCAGGTGGTCCTCCTCATCCTAGCCAAAAATCCGCCTCATCTTCACCGCGATAGCTGCATCTACGCCCGCCCTGCTCATCTCGGTCTTCTTCATTATTACCATGCTGTACACTGCCCCCGCAGTGCACATATCGGCAGTGTTTGTCATTATTCTCTATATTTTAGATTTTTTGTCCAGTGGCGTAATATCAGGAGACCTCAGATATACACCTATCTCCAGCGATCCTTGATCAGATTATTTATTACTGGTAACGCAGTACTTATTTCGTAGAACCAGAAAGAAGCCAAAATGTCTTTACTACTGCCTTTGACAGCCGTAGCAATCGAATAGCGAAAGGCAAATCGGTTTTCGATAAAAGCAACGAGATAGATATAATGCTTCTTAGCGAATTGAGGTTGATCTCTCTTTATATTGCGCCTACCAAAAGCATCAAAAGCATTATTATATTACTACTTAAGAGTACGCTTGATACTTAAAAAGAAAGATGAAAAGAAGAAAAGAGAACTAGATACTAGAGATAAGGTCTTATAAGCAGGCGTGCCAAGACGGGAACCTGAGGTCACGAGGTAACGTGTAACCCATACACGTACCCAAGGCCTCGTAACCTGCCTTGCGGAGTAGCGTCGCTTCCACCGTAACATTTGCAAGGTACGTAGTATCTTACCGGGGCTGAAACCAATCAACTTACTGTATAAATATCCAGCTTTGAAAAGTATCTTCAAGCCAGTTTTTAGTTTATACAGTGGAGTTGAAAGGGCTTTGAGCAAGGCCTCGGAAGGCAGGCAGCCTTTTGTTCGCGACGGTTGCGAAGCGAGGTCCCCTGGCCCCGGAGCTTGCGAGGGGCCGCTAAGGATAATTTTCTTGTGTCTGAAACCAATCTTATCAGATAAAAAACTCGCTATTTATTATTGTACCTGTATGAACTCAAAATGTTATACTACTACTGTACATGCGTTTGAACCTCTTACCAAAACTAGCACCGAAAATACTCGCTTCGGTCTTACGTACGATGTTGGATTCTACTCGCTAATTCATCTTTTTTTTCTCGCTTCTCTTATCCTTGCTGGCCCCGCCGTGCACGGCGGGCCTGCTCAAGTTGCATTTTACACCAATGTACTACGAAGTATACGGTATACTTTACGGAAAAGTATACGGCGTAGGTAATTCGGGGATGGTTTTGATTCACTTACTACGTACTACTATTTAAAGCTGATTTTGCATCAGCCAAGCTAACAATGATTAGAAAGGTTTCGTAGCTTCAATCATAAATCAGCTATACTTAGTATACGCGGTCTATTCCCTGGAGGCCCTCCGCAAGCTCCGGGGTCAGAGGACCTCGCTTCGCCTCGGTCGTAGTGCAAGGCTGCCTTCCGAAGCCTTCAACATTACTTGACGCTATATTAAATTTCTATAAGAAATACGTTTTAGAAAGATACAAACAAGATGTAACGCTTTAGCCCGGCCGCAAGCTAAAACTTGCGACCTTCCGCAAGCTCGGGGGTAAGGTTTCCGGACTTCGCTACATAATATTCGTAGCTACCATTGTATGATTTATAAAAATAGCTTCTTCTACCGCGATGCAGCTATCTGTTCTTCGAGCATCTAGTTTATAGAAGTAGCAATGGCCTTTCTTAGCCTGGTGCAGCTAGCCGTCCTTCGAGCATTCAATTTATTATAAAACTTCTTCAAGCTTTTCTTTTCTTATTATTAATCAGTTATTGATTAAGTAGTGAAAAGGAAAAGAATACATAGTTAATGTTATATATAAATCGAGAAGTAACCGAAGTGTTGCACGTAAGTAGAGTACATAAAAAGAAAAAACCTTTTTTACGAAGTACCACGGTACAGGCCTAAGTGTTACAGCCTGAGGATGCCTTGAAAGTCTAAATCTCCACTTTAAACCTCCTGGTTGCCCTACCCTCAGGGTGTAACACTTACTTACGCCTGTGACGTTATTGTAGATTTGGTTGGCAAGTATACGTAAAGAAAAAACCTTTCCCTTTTCTATTACTAAGCGCTTGATTGAGTTTTTAGTGCTCGTCAATAGCCCGAGCTCCAATGGATATACGTAGTACTAGTAGTACTCAATCAACGTTTCCCTTTTAACCTTCTAAGTCAAAGTGACCGCATTTTTGATCGTTTACGGTCTTAGCTAAGATCTACATTTAGCTCAATCTCCATATTATTTATAGAACACGAATATATAAAGTCTTTCACTCATCCGCCGTGCTATCGTCGACAGAACAATACTCGATTCCTAAAATCCCCCCCCACCCCCCAAAAAGCCATTCATCAACCCTTTATACTATCAAGATGGTCTCTATCAAATCTTTGCTTACAGTGCTTTTGTAGGTAGCCTATCCAACCTGTCTTCCTATATCTTGTATAGCTAGCTAGCTTGCTGACTTGCGTATCGCTTTAGTATCTCTGCCGTGAGCGCAACGCGGCAAACATGTGTGTGTGGAGAACCGTCCGAAACCAAAGCCGTTTGCGATCTTTTTGCCCAAGCAGATGCCCAGTGGAATGGTGGCACCCAGGAGGTAAGTGGTTCCAGTTTCAAACTCCACAATCACATCGCCAAATACATGTGTGTATATGCTGACACTCGTGATTCTAAAAGTGCTTTGTTGTTAATGGGGACGTCGGCACGTCTTACAGGCTCAAATGCCGTAATCGCGCAATCGGAATCATTGGTTCATGCCTAGACGTCCCCAGTTAGATGGAAGCTTCAACGTTTCATCGTAGCAAGGTAGCAAACGATGGCGAAGAAGTCTTCCTCGGGGGTAGGGCCTCTATTGTACTAGGTAGGTAATAGCGTGCTTAACTATCTATTTATTTTTGCCAATGATATTTTTCAGGAGAGTACTGACAGATATTCAGGCTACGCCGAAGGGACCTGCGAAGGAAATCTCGGATCTCGTGGTCATGGTGACGAGAAAGGGGGGAGGAAGGCGGGTTTCTTTTTTTTTTTGTGTGTGTAGAAAGATCGTAGCTAGTTCTGTGAACTCTGGCTATCCAAGGCTCCTCTGAAATTCTCTTCGGTAGTGATAAGTACCTCGGTCTTTTCTTCTCCAGAAACCAGATGCGCGCTCTGAAGAGCGGAGAGGGGAAAGATCGGTTCCCAAGTGGCCTGTTCATTCATTCGTCCCAGCTTAGCTATGTATGCATGTGAGGCTTTTGCAAGCGCAACTGTTATGGGGATGCCAGACGCTTATACATTTTTAATCGCTTGATAAGGACTGTCTGTGTATGGTGCTGGATATAAATATAAGCAAGGTATGTAGTAGTCCCTAGATACTTCGCTGGCTGGGTATGTACGTATTGCTTGGCTTGGCTTAATGCCTTGGATCGTGGCTAATGCCTAGGTGTAGCCCAACAGCAGTCTTGGTATCCTTTAACGGTTCAGATTGTGCTACTGTATTTCTTCGAAGGGATTCTCTACATGGCCTGATATCAAGTTTGTACTCGGGATCAACACCAATCCCCAAAAGAAAATGCTCAACCACCGCACACAGCTCATCATATCTCCAACTCGCCGTCAGCCGAAGAACAAGACAGTAAGAACCAATGATCCAGTGCAATCCAGTCCAGTAGCCCAGTCTACATTTCTCAGCAGCCCCAGGCGCAATTCATCACAGCTGCTCTTTTTTTCCAGATGCGCCGGCCGAGAGAATTTTCGTTGGCGACCTACTTGCGTTGGCTTTTCCAAGGATTTAGGAGATGGGCAGCGCTCAAGAGCTAGATAGAGAGGGAAGGGGGGAGGAGAGAAACGGTATCCTCAACCTCGTGTGCGAAAAAAAGACAGAGGTTCTAGCTTGTTCAAACACACCGAGGAGAGCAGATCCAGACGGACGAATACTAGAAGGAGCATACTGACTTATCACAAAATTTCCGTGGCGAAGACTCGAATAGATAAGAAGCAAGGAAACGCAACCACTCTGGCCGCACCCGCGATTCCCAAGCCAAGTGTCTCGACCATGTGCTTTCACGTACTGTGAGATGGGAAACTTAGGCCCTTCCATTATCTCTCCAACCTTTGTTCTTAAGCGAACGACGCTCGTTCGTTTGTTGGGTAGTTTGCATGGTATGTAGAGTATTCTCCGATTACGAAACACAGCCAGCCGGTCAGCCGGTTCAGCCTAGTCTCGTCCTCGGCGACCCGGCCGGCGGCTGGCTCCTCACGCGACCTAACCTATCCAAGGGCAACGGTAGCCCCTTTCCTCGAGACAACTGGACCAAAACAAGACTCCCAAGGTATTTTCTGAAAATCACAATTCAAAAAGAACCTTCAGTGCCTTGCGATGAAAGTCAAATCGCAAAAACGACCATGAGCGCAAACCACAGGTGGCAAAAGGCACAGGTGACATGAGATGTCAGGCATGGGAAGATATGGCATGGCTTACAAAGCCCCGCTGCCCAGAAGTCATGTGCGTATGATAATTGAACTTCATATCAAACGAGGTTGGGCTGCTCTGGAGCCAACTAACTAAGACACCTCGAGGTAGATATTTCGGTGCTCCGGAAAGTTCCAACTTGAGCCACCAACTAGTATTGCACGCCTCGACCAAACATGCGGCGCTAGACATATACATTGAGGCTGACATACGTTATATGTTGTCTGCTTCGAGTAAGATAACAAAAAGGAATGCAAGGAGAAGCAACGTAGGAACGAAGATACCAAGAAGCAGGAGAGCTTGACATGAGCCGTACTTAAGAGGCAGATCGAGGATCAAACGAACAGAGGATCGAAACGAACATCACCAATATTCAGATTAAGCTTAAGTAGATAGGTAGCACGCAGGTTCTATTCTGCGCAACTATCTCCCAAAAAAAAACCTCCCCATGCTAGCACGTAGCTGTAAGAGAGCGGCAAATGTGGTATCATGTGCGAATCGGTCCTCTCGTGTCCGACGAGGGACCCTATCCGGCCAGAAGAAGTTGTTGAAGTTCTCCCAAACGCCAGAAGCACCATGCTGCTCTCTATGATGCAGTGAGTGATTCCCGGGCAAATCAAAATGCCGCTCCTGAGACCTGCTTGCCTTATCTACGGTCTATGTTGAAAGACTTTTATCTTCCTGATTCGTGCCGCCTCACAAACTCCCTAAAACGAAAAAAATTTCTAGAGGGAAAGAGATCCTGTCAAACATAAAACCAACGCTACAATGAACTCCGCCCCATGGCCCGCTAAGGTCGTTGAGACCATGCACTTTTTTGTCGTCAAATCATATCGCCGTAGAGGATGTTGAGTCATCTACCATATTCGTAACAAATGTGTAAAGATGGGGTATTTAGAATTTCAGGGTCTTTGGCTTCTCCCAGCTGAAGTCCTGGCTGGTAAAATGGCCATTCTTGGCAGTTTTGAAGTAAATTGGACGGGCCAAGTCAAGTTCCTTGACGATGACACCTGGACGGAGGTCAAAGTTGCTGTTGATGATCTCTACGAGCTCAGCGGAGGACTTTTCGGAGGTGCCGTAGCTGTCAACGTAGATGGAAAGTGGCTCTGCAACACCAATGGCATACGAGAGTTGGACGAGTGCACGGCGAGCCAGCTTGGCGTTGACCAATGACTTTGCGATCCAGCGGGCGAGGTACGCAGCGGATCTGTCGACCTTGGAGAAATCCTTTCCGGAGAATGCTCCACCACCGTGAGCACCCCATCCACCGTAGGTGTCAACAATAATCTTTCGGCCAGTGAGACCAGCATCTCCTTGAGGTCCGCCAATAATGAAGAGTCCCGAAGGTTGAATCTAAGCTCGTTAGCAAAAATATCAGGGCGAACGTGCGGAAATACTCACGTGGTAGACGGTCTTTTCATCCAAGTAGTTGGCAGGGATGACTTTCTTGACAATCTTCTCCAGGATCTCCTTGCGCAGCTCCTCGGTGGTGATGTCCTCGCTGTGCTGAGCAGAGACAACAACGGTGTCTACTCTGATTGGGACTACAGCTCCATTGTCGTGCTTGTACTCTATAGTGACCTGGGTCTTGGTATCGGGTCGGAGCCATGGGAGGCTTCCGTCTCGGCGAGCCGCGGCCATGGCAGCATTGAGCTTGTGAGCTAACTGAAGGGTCAAGGGGAAAAGCTCTGGCGTCTCGTCGGTAGCATATCCGAACATGATACCTTGGTCACCAGCACCCAATTGCTCGAGAGCCTTCTCGTAGTGCAGACCTTGTGCAATGTCGGGAGATTGCTCTTCAATGGCAACCAGGATGTTACAAGTCTTGTAATCGAAACCCTTCTTCGAGTCATCGTAACCGATGTCCTTTATGGCATTTCGGATGACCTTTTGGTAGTCGAGATTGGCCTTGGTTGTGATCTCACCGAAGACCATGATCATACCGGTCTTGGTGGCAGTCTCACACGCAACCTTGGAGAGTGGGTCGACGGCGAGGCAGGCATCGAGAATTGCGTCGGAAACTTGATCAGCAATCTTGTCCGGGTGGCCCTCTCCTACAGACTCGGACTGGAGACAATGGTCAGTAATCGATTGCGCGCGCAGGTCAGAGAACGAGCTTACGGTAAAGAGGAAGTTCCCTTGGTTGTGATGGGGCTTCACACCGTTGCTGGTAGACATGATTGCGATATGTGAAGTGCCAAAAGGTGGGAGAAAAGAGGAGGGAGAAGAGACAAGAGAGAAGAGAGGAGAGAGAAGAGAAGGGAGGTTCTCGAGGTTTTCTTGTGAGGAGGGAAGAATTCTCTAGGCGGTGGAGCTTGGTATGGTTAGTGTAGAGAGACAAGACGGAGTACGCGAAGCTTGAAGAGGGGTTTTACAAAGAAAATGAGGGGCATTGGGAGGATTCGTATTGTTTGCCATGAAGTCGCCAAAGGCATAAATTTGAGACGCTAGACCACATTCAGCCCGACCAGTGCCCCTCACCAAAAGAAATTTTGGATTGCGCCATCAGTCACCGCCTTTGGCTCTACGGAGTACGGATAGGCTCTTCGTATGGGGAGATGGCCGAGATGCGTTTCAGTGCCAGCTATCTATCTCACCCTCAACATGGAAATTATTCCACTTCATAATTAATCCACTCGCTTGATTATCAGGATCCAAGAAAGTGCTGCTACTAGATACCATCATAGCGGTTCCATCGCTACCCATCCAAGTTCCAGCAAACCAAACGTGTGATCCCAGCGAAGGCCGAGAAATCCAGCCTTGTATGCAAGGCATCAATATTCAGCCTTCTCAGTATTCCAAGGAAAAAATAAAACATAAAAGTATAAAAAAAAAGAAAGGCTGACAGACTACATTCCCACCCCCACCAACCACCCCCCAACATCGATAACCATGAGCAAGTTCGGCGTCATGGTTATGGGTCCTGCCGGTGCTGGCAAAGTGCGTTTGGTTCCCCTCTCCGACACAATTAGGCCCCATGCTAAAGACCAAGCAGAGCACCTTCTGCTCGTCCCTCATCACCCACCTGCGCAACAACCGCCGCTCCTGCTTCTATGTCAACCTCGACCCCGCCGCCGAGGACTTCACCCACCAGCCCGATCTCGACATCAAGGACCTGATCTCGCTCGAAGATGTTATGGAGGAGATGGGCCTCGGTCCCAACGGCGGCCTGATCTACTGCTTCGAGTTCCTGATGGAGAACCTGGACTTTCTCACCGAGGCCCTCGACCCCCTGACGGAAGAGTACCTGATCATCATCGATATGCCGGGCCAGATTGAGCTGTACACGCACATCCCCATCCTGCCTGCGCTGGTGCGCCATCTGACGAGGACTGGGGCGCTGGATATCAGACTCTGCGCGGCGTATTTGCTGGAGGCAACGTTTGTAATTGACCGCGCCAAGTTCTTTGCCGGGACCTTGAGCGCGATGAGTGCGATGATTATGCTGGAGGTGCCGCATGTCAATATCCTATCGAAGATGGATTTGGTGAAGGGGCAGGTGGGCAAGAGGGAGCTGAAGCGCTTCTTGGATCCGGACGTCACACTCTTGGACGACGATCCGACTGGGGGAGAGGCGGATACTGGAGAGGGTCAGACGGCGGATTCGAAGACGGTGATGAAGGGTAATAGCTTCAAGAGGCTGAATAAGGCGGTCGCAGGACTGATTGACGCCTTCAGCATGGTGTCATATCTACGGTTGGATGTGCAGGATGAGGATAGTGTCAACAGCATCTTGAGCTATATCGACGACGCGATCCAGTTCAACGAGTCACAGGAACCGAAGGAACCTAACGACGAAGTAGACATGGAATATGGCGATGAAGATTGATAATGTCTCCCCGGTCAGGTCTTGGATTCGGCGTTCGGAATACGGTGTGGCAGCACGGAATGCATAGCGTAGGCGTTCATTCATTATGATATCCTGTTCTGTACACCCACAGATACATTTCCGTTTCCCCCAAAACCCAACGCCATTTTCCGTGAGCGGTATGCAGCCCAATTGCCCAGCCGTGAGTGCCAAATGTCGGCCTCCACCATCACATCCCAGTTTACTATCCCGCTGCCACAAATCCCTCCCCCCTAATTAGATGCCTATCACCTCCAAGCGCTCCTCGCCGTCGTCCGCCCCGATCCCCCACTTTGATCCTGACCCTGCAGCTCTTCCCACCGCCTATATTCCCTCCACCACACATCCTTCAGCCCAACCCCCCAGGCCACAGCATCCCCCAGCGTCCTCTCCAGCCCCCTCTGCCACACCAGGCTCACCACCGCGCCCACCGCCCCCCAAAACACCAGCCGGACCACCACGCGGGCCCAGAACATCATGACCCGGCGACAGAACGCCAGGATCTGCATCGCGACCAGGAGCATGAGGAGCAGCACGCCGAGGGACACGATGGCGGGAGACTCGTGCGCGAGGATCGCGGCGCGGTTGAGGGCCGGCAGGGCGAGGGGCGCGAGGTTCGCCCGGATGGTATTCAGGGTTGAGAGGACGGGCGTCGTGTACGGCTCTAGGTCGTGGAGGATGGGGAAGGTGAGGAGGGCGTAGTCTTGGGGGGGAGGGGGGTATGGTTAGATTTGTTTTTGCTTTCGTGGGTAGGGAGTGGAGATAAGGGGGAGGTAGGAGGTACCTTGCAAGATGTCCATGGCTGCGATCCGAGTGAGGGAGGGAAATGCTTGCGCGCGAGTTCAGGTTCGAAGAGCTGGGGGAGCGCGTCGCTGAAGCTATGTTGGAGGCAGCGAGCCTGGGTCTATCTCAAATTTGGACTTGATATTGCGCGCGATGTTGTGCTGTAAGGCTTGAAAAATTGTGTTGATTATATTCGGTGCCCGGCCTTTGATGGAAATCTAGATAATGCTCCTGCCTAGCGCGATTTGCTGTTTGCACGTGCGGGTCAGACCAGAAACCTCCATCAACTCCTTTGACTTTTTTAGTTACTTTGTAATATCTCTTATGATTCTAATCGTTTCCAGCCATACAGAGGCAAATCTATAGTCTTACTTACAAGAGCCCAGGCACCAGCGCTATGCAATACGCCCTTCCAACCGAACTATTCCCGCCATGCTATGTATTTCCTTTCCAGTCATTATCCCAAACCAAACACCATCGAACAGTTCATGTCAAGTCATGCCAGGTCCTCGAGATCGTTGTCATCCCATCCCAGCGCCTTGTAAATTGAGTCATCTGTATCTTTACCCAACGCCTCTTTGCACTCGTTACTTATTACACGCCTCATTGTCGATTGGTTATTCTCCTTCTCGCTATCAATCCCCGCTAGACCGAGATGGCTGTGCTCATTGCTGCTCACTGGCCTCTTCTTAATCGGTGTCTCATTCAGTCCGCAAGAAACGACAGCATTCAAATCCTTATAAGCCGAGTCAGGCACCGCGGTGAAAAGCTGAGAGCTTGATCGACGAAAGTGTAACGGCGAAGATGGCACACCACCAGAGTCCATATCTTTCCCCGGTCGCGGAAGGGCAGGAACAACTTTTCGTGATGGTGTTGCTTGAACACTTGGAAAAGCACCCTGAGCAGAGCGAGAACTGGATTGTGGTATCCGAGGTGCGCTTGATACGGGAACCACCGAAACCTCTCCAACCATCCGTTCCAAGCTTGATTGCTGGGATTCAGGGAACATATCCTTGTGTCGATTGGTCTTAGGCGTTGCAGATATCTGGACACTCTGGAGAGGGGGGTTCCTGATTGGCTTCTTGGATTTCCGAGAATTTGATATGACTGTCCTTTGTTCAGCTATCTCTGCCAACGCCTGCCCAGCAAGCTCACGGTTCGGTTTTTTCAGGGCCGAAATCGCCTCCTTAAGCTGTTCGTCAACTAGAGCCTTCTTCTTCGCCTTGGAGTTCTTCTCAGGCAAGAGACTGCTGGGATCTATATCCGGCCGAGAAAAGCGCTTCGAGTTTGACACCCCGCCCCTAGATGCTTCTAAAGAGTGTGGCTCCATGGCTGGTGTGCTTGATATTGACGGCGTTTCGCTTGTTTCCCTCTTCATTCCTGGGATGATGGGCATCGTAGCCGACCTCATCAGAGCTATCTTTTTGTTTGGGCCCGAAGACATGCTTCTTCGCTCTCGATCGTCTGTCAAAACACGCTTCAAACTTCGGCCGGGTTTTATAGGGACTGGTCGTTTTGTAGCGGCCCCAGGTCGTGAGAGGGCACCAGAATAACTGGAGGCCTTGGACAGCTTAGGTTTGGGAGGCGACATGACAACAGGGCCTCCAAACTTTCTGTTAATAGCTGCGCAGATCGCTGGGAGCCGTGATTGGAAACTACAACGATTAGATGAGTTCAAGTTAGAACTTCGAATACTTACAATGGTGTAATGACTTCGACGCAGAAGTCCCTGAGAACATTGTCTGTATGTTTTAGTTGGCTGCCGGAGTCGAAACTTTTTGGAGAGGCTTTAAGCGATTCACTGGTAGGTGCATTCGTCAATTCGAGAGCGATGGACTGCCAGATGCATAATCTATCGATATGCATATCAATGAGAACTGTCAGATGGTCGGCCTTTTTTTTTGACTTGGAAGAGTTGTCTTTCGTCTCTACCGCCTCTATTGTAGGCAACGCAGAAGGCAAACCCTCTCCTTTGTGCTCTGTAGTTGCCAAAGGCCGGAGTGCCAGAATCTCCAGGATAATGATCAATTGAAGTTGAGTTTCCCGGATACGGAGCTGGTATATACGAGTTTTGGTGAGTTCTTCTCGAGAAGAACCGGGCGCGCCAATCTCGGCATCGTCATCATGGGCTGCCCACCACTCCCGGATCAGAGGCTCTTCTGTTGGATACAATCCATTCTTTCCAGGCTTCATCTTTTTGCTAATCCTCTTCTTCTTGGGTTTTGCAATTGCTTGGGCAGCATCCTCTGCACTATGATCCCGAATGTCGACCAAAGAAATAAAGTTCGGAATCCCACCACGGTACTTCTTATCCAATATGGGATTCGACATGACCAGACTTTCCAAGAAATTGATATGATCGTTGAGATCAAGAGTGGACTCGTAGTCAAGATGGAACGCCGCCCGAGCCCGTGACAATGGACCCTTCACAAAATATGCCAATGAAGCCTTAGAAAGATAGAGTGTCTCCAAGTATTGTGTCCGAACATTTTCAAATATCTCTGTTGCCGTGGGCTGAGATAGAACATCATCCACCGCAGCAAGGTTGTGGTTTTCCTGGCTTTCAACACATTGTCTGGGAGCTTTCTGGGCGGGGAGAGGGGTGTCGACAGTTAATTGCTCCGGCTCGTTGGCAGGAGACAGGGAATCTCCCTGAGACTCTGTGAGAAGGCCTATCGGTGGGCGCTTCACCATGGACTGGATAGCCTCAATTGCCAGACGCTTACTTTTGCTGAACTGGCTCGTTTCGGAGGTATGTTCTGGTATGGTAGGGACCTGGAGACATGCTCGCTCTGGTAACTCCTGCTTCGAAACTACGGCTGCCGCTCTCAAATCATGTAGGTTTATCCATGACCCAAGCTGGCACAGCACGTAGAGACCATGACTTTCACGTTCGACCGCGTATAGTAACCGACTATCATTCAATCTTGCGACCAGAACGGTTGGCTGGCTTCCCATGCGCTCTTCTAACTCCAATATCTTGACGTGTGCTTCGAATAATCTCGATTTGGCTAAGCCTTTGGCAGTGGAGTAAAAGTCGAAGAATGAGAGCGGCAGTTTGGATCGTGGCAGTAGCATCAGTGGCTGGAGAGACTGGGACTTGACGAACCCAGTCGCTGGATATGGCTACATAACGTTAGCCATTCATGCTGCCGCTTCCAAGGGGTCGTTTACCGACCCTAACGACAAATTTGTCTCTCAGCAGATCTTCTATGGAACTGCCTTCTCTCTTGCGCTTCTTACCTCCAGAGGCCACGCCATCACTCAGGCTCTTGGTGTTTTCAGACGTTGGCGTCAGGATGCCAGAACGCGTTTGGGACGCGTCGCCAGCATGGTGCTCGGTCTGACTTGACATATCAATGGTTTATGGATGTATCGTGTCATGAGGTTCTCACTACTCCGCACAATGACAATGGCCCCGGTTTATCTTAAGGCTGCTGAAATGTTGCGAATGTACTGAGTATTAGATTTGGTGGTGATGTACAGCTGGAGTGAGATGCATAGGTCTTTCGGCAACGCGCAGTGCGGGTTTACCTCGGGAGATACCCACAACCACCTACCCTTGGGCGCTGCATACATACCTTCTCGAGAGAAATTATTTATATTGGCTACCCGGCAAGATTCAATGGGCTTGTTTTGTTATTCTTTTTCTTTTTCTTCTTCTTTTTTCTTTGAAAAATAAAATTTTAATTTTTTTTAGTTTCTCTCTTAAGCTGCTAGCCGCCATTCTGCCTCAAACAGCATCAACAGCGTTGGCCATTGTCCATCATTAATCTGCATTGCGACATTCAAGATTGCTTGCTCTAAGTAAAAATTGTGTTATCATTATTGGTATCCGTTCTCCCTGCGGTTTCCCAACGACTCATTTACCTATAGATTCCGTGATATCATTAGAGAGAGAAAATATGGCGGTGACTTTGTCTGCTGTACCGACCTATGGATCTCGTAGACGGGTGACATTAAGGATAGAGTACCGGTACTGAAAGCTGGGCTATAGCCTTTTCCAAGAGATTGCGAAGCTTATAAGCCCGACTATATACTCTGTACTGCCGCACCGGCCACCCTTGCTTGATGTTGATGTGTACCGGTACACCGTGACAGCAGTCAGTACACAAGAAGATTGCCGGCTTAATACCTAATACCTTGTCGAGATCATAATGCATGAACTATTACTGTAACAAGTCCAAGTACTCCAGAATGCAAGCCACATGTTCCGCAATCAGAGTCACAAAGACGCGTCACCCAGGTCATTTCACCGCCACACTTCCCGATCAACCTCTCCGACTTTCTCTGCACTACTGTACTGTAGCGCCTCCGACATGCCGTTTATCCAATTACAGTGTACGGAACCAACACCTCAGGCTTCAAATCGACGCCTGGCTCGGCTCAGCATTCGCCTCATCGACACAGGACCGTCGAGACGACAACAAGGGGAGCTAACTACAACAATAACAACAATCCCCAACAACCAACAATAACAACAATCAAAACAACAGCAGCAACAGCAACAACAGCAACAACAACAACAACAACAACAGCGCGCATCGCACTCCGCGATATCTCTTCTGTCCCTCCGCAGCTCGGGCCAAGCAGTCACCGACACGGACGTGGGGTATCAGCAGCAGCAGACCGCGGTCCCTTGCTCTCGCCAGAGATACCGGTACCAGCATGCTCGAGAACCGGCCCGCTTGTTTATATTAAATCCGTCCCGCCGTCACCTCGTCAACGAGATTCGACGAAATTGCCTCGTCTCGTCCTGCCAGCCGTCCGTTCTCGCCATGAGTGTGGACTTGTCGCCGCGAGCAGTACGCTTTTCTGAAAGCGCGCGGGAAGATAATCTGGAGAATCTCAAATCCCCCCGGGTCATGGAGCGTCCTCACACCCTGATGAGCGATTCGGGAGGGTCTGGCTCCTCTGCAGAGACCCAGGATGGTCTGGTCGCAATCGAAAGCCGACCTCCTCATCCTCCGACACTTGCTATGCTCGATCAGCGGCCGTCCATGAACAGCATCAATTCGAATCAGCGTAGCCAGAGAGGCAATTCGGATGCCAGTGGAGTATACACACCGTTCACCCCGGGCACTCCCGCGCTCAATGGCGCAACAAGTCGGCCCCAGAGGCCAACAGGGCCTGCGCGCACACCTTCGAGTACATACGCACCAGCGCGCCGACCAGCACAAACTCCGGGCTACATGCAGGCTGGGGAGCGCAGTCGGTCACACTCACAAGTGTCTCGCTTCAGTAGAGGAGATGCAAACCAACTCTACCGTCAAGAGCAACCAGTCTATCTACAGCGACTGCAAGAAGTGCAACCGGCGGATTACTTCGAGCAGATGACACCGAGTGCGGGATACGGGACGGGCTCGGACACAGAAGATGATGATTCCAATGAGCTCCAAGTTGGTAGCGAGGCATACGACTCGGAAACGATAATGTTCTACGGAAATGACAGTATGGCTCCCACCGAAGAAGATCTCCAGGACCCTGCGAATCGAGAAAGATTAGAGTGGCACAGCATGCTCGCTTCGGTCTTGACAGGAGATGTCGTGAAGCAGGAAAAGAAACGGTTGATAGGGGCCTCAGACAAGCAGGGAGAGAATCTATACACCGAGATATGGCTCGGGGTACGCTCAAAACTATGCGGGCGGACTTTGGCGGCACAGCGGAGGATGATTGAAGATACACGGACAACACTGGATCACTTACTCGACGAGATAATCAGATTCCAGGTCCAAGGAGAGAGCGAAGCAGGAAAACCATCCGTGGACCAAGTGCGGGACGTTGTTGCGAAGATCGAGAAGTGCGAAAGTCTTTTTCCCTCCCGGCTTGCTTTGGAAACAGCCAACAAACTCGCCGCATCTGCACAGTTCCATGCCACCTGCGATGCTGTTATCTCGTGGCATAATACGACAGAACTGATTAATACGGAACTCGGGATCCTACAAAATTGGGTTGGGAACGCCGAGCTGGATTTCAACAGAGCAAAGGAGCGGTCTCCGTCTGGCAATGGACTATCTGACGAGTCTTCGTTCATCGATAGGCTGCTAAAGGAGGATGGTCTACGATCCCTTCAAGGCGAAAAGAGCATCCTTTTGGGCGTCTCGGAGGTCATCATGAAAGCGAAGAGAACATTGATTCAGAATTCTGAGGGATTTGCAAAACGCCACCTTCCACCTTATATCGAGGAATTGCTGACACTCATAAACTTTCCATCAAGACTGATAGAAGAGATTATCAAAGTCCGACTTCAGTTTGCAAGAAAGATGAAAGAGACAGCGCAGCATAATTTAATGATGCAAGAGCAAATGATCTCGCAATTCCAAATACTCCTGAAACTTGCTATTCGCATCAAGCAAGAGTATCTGACCATCTCACAACCAGAAGCTGGATGGGATTTGCCTCCGTGTATTGATGACGACTCCTTCGATCAGGTTGTACTAGATGCTTTGAAGTTTTACTTCAAGATGCTGAACTGGAAACTCGGGGGCAACAAGAACACTTTCAAAGAGGCTGAAGTTTTGGAACAGGAATGGGACTTTTCCAACGAGATCGGACGCCATCTGCAAGGCGGCGATGTGGAAGTCGCAGAGCAATTTAGCTCGCTCACACATAAGGCTTTCTTTCGTCTAAGTCACACGTTTGAACGCGATCTCCAGCGAAAGCCGAAGGAAAGCGCTCCAGAAATGACAAAACGATATAAGCAGGTCCTTGACTCTGTTCGTGTTCGGCAACGTATGTTGCAACGATTTTCACGAGTGTTGAGCGATCGCTTTGAGAATGCCACAGACTTCAGCATCGCTATGAGGCACGAGCAACTCCAAACCCTCTATTCGAGATTGATAGAAACTGGACATTTCTTGGTCTACACTGCCAGCATTGAGCACGACGGAATTTTCCTTATTGCTTCTCCGTCTTTATACAACCGCCCACAGGATATCCAATCCATTCTCGGCACATGCTACCATTCAGACCAGGTCCAGGAGGACCCCACCAACCCTTACATCCTGGTTTTGCGCCCCGAAGTTGTCGTCCCGTGGGACGGACGACAGGTCGACGCAAATATCAGAGAGCCAGCGACAGATGTCAAAATGGGTCATCTCAGATTGATTGCGGATGGCTCACAGGCAAGACTGCAGATCGCGAGACAGGCATTCTTGGATCTGATCGATTTGCATTTGGACATGGTCGTTGAGCAACGGTCAAATCTGAAAAAGGTCAACCTGAAGTTGACTGAAATCAAGAAGGTCGTTTACAAGCTGTCGAATAATATCATGGACAGTGTCGAAATTGTCAGAAACCAAACGGAAGGACTTGACTGTCAGGAGCTTATACAGACCTGCTTCGTATTTGCAACGGAATTTGGGCAAAGATCCCTACTCCACATGGACCGTAATCGAAAGCAGATGAATAACCTCAAGCTCACCAAGCTTGCTCTGGACTGGGTAAGTTTCGTCTGCGACGACTGCATAGCTACCGATCGGAAGACCTTTCGATGGGCAGTGTTGGCATTAGAGTTTGCAATGGTGATGACACAAGGTCAACATATCCTGGCGCTAGGTGACGACGAATATACACGGCTTCGTGCCAAGGTCGCAGGCTGCATGTCACTTCTGATCTCGCACTTCGACATTATGGGCGCGAGGTCTACACTCGCTGCTCAGGCTGAAAAGCAACGCATAGAGGCATTGGCTGGTCAATTTAGGAAAATGGACATGAGCCGTATGCTGGACGATGAAGAGTCCTCTAAATACGTTCGGGAGCAAAGACTAGAGCAATTGACGTTTCTTGATGATATCCGAAAACAGAAAGAGGCAGAGAGACAAGCACTGGGTCGAGTCCTTGAGGAGTCAAGCGATGCAGACCGTTCCCTGACTTTCCTGTCTTCCTCTGCATCTAACGTCAATATGCGGTGGCAGCAAGGGAACTTCGTGGGTGGTGGTACATTCGGATCGGTTTACGCCGCTATCAATCTTGACTCTGGTCATCTAATGGCTGTGAAGGAGATTCGACTTCAAGACCCATCCTTGATCCCGACTATCGCTGGCCAGATCCGAGATGAGATGAATATTTTAGAAGTCTTGGACCATCCCAACGTTGTGTCGTATCATGGCATCGAAGTCCATCGAGACAAGGTCTACATATTCATGGAATTTTGCTCGGGCGGCTCTCTAGCTGGACTCTTGGAGCATGGGCGGATCGAGGACGAGCAAGTTATCATGGTATATGCGTTGCAGCTACTCGAAGGTCTTGCATACTTACACGAGAGTGCCATCGTACATCGCGATATCAAACCAGAAAGTGAGTACACCCCAAAAAAACTTGCGTGTGTCTGAGTTTGTACTGACTCTTTTCTCAGACATTCTCCTCAATCACAACGGTGTGATAAAGTACGTTGATTTTGGCGCATCCAAGGTCATTGCTCGCCAAGGCAAAACTCTCGTCGCTGCCGAACCGGGCAAGGCAAACAAGTCTATGACCGGCACACCGATGTACATGTCTCCCGAAGTTATCAAAGGTGAGAACCCTGGACGAGCCGGAGCTGTCGACGTATGGTCTCTCGGCTGTGTCATCCTCGAGATGGCGACCGGCCGTCGACCTTGGGCATCGCTCGACAACGAATGGGCTATCATGTACAACATCGCACAAGGCAACCCGCCACAGCTTCCTTCAATTGAGCAGCTTAGTCCAGAGGGCATTGACTTCCTGAAGCGGTGCTTCATCCGCGATCCGAAAAAACGCGCTTCGGCCGCCGAGCTACTTCAACACGAATGGATCATGGCTATCAAATCTCAAGTTGCCATTGAACCCAGCACCCCATCGGATGCCGGGTCGAGCTATTCTCGCGGCAGCATCGGTTGAGGCTGTGGACAGCCGGGGAAGGTCACAAAGTCCCTCCGGTGGGGAGCCCTTCTCAAACTCCTGAGGTTTCTCCATTACCTAATTGCAGTTCGGGTAATAATTCAGGCGGTCAACCCTCTGCCAAGAAGGAAACATTAGGTGTTGAAGTTTCCATTCTTTCAGTATCACTCTCTTCTTCTTGGCCATATGTTATTGTACACACATACGCACAGCATACAGAGCATTGCGAGGAAACAAGATGCATAAGCGATGAGTCAGGCGTTCTGGGTATTCATGTAGTGGGGATTTTGTTTCCTTATATTGGGATCTCGCTTCTCGGCCTTAGATATGGGAAGAGTGGAAAGCATGGAGTGAACCTGGACCTTGTCGTGAAAATGAAATGGAATGGACTGGAACTTGCGCGGGCCGGTCCTGCTCCCAGGACGCAAGCTGGGAGTGAGAGAGGATCAGCTGGCCGCGAGATGTGGTGGGTGACGAGAGGAGGGTCACCCTGTCTCTCTCTCTCTCTCTCTCTCTCTCTCTCTCCACCCCTCTTCCTCTCTGCTCTTGCTTTCTCTCGTTCAGCCATAAGTGTCTCTCGCGTTCGATTCCTATTTCAGACCCACCCAGCCAGCTAGCAGCTCCCTCCCACTAGCGTGGGCCATCCATCTACAGATTGCATGATGGGTATCCTCTCCCCCTCGGCTTAGCCAGCCACCGGCCAGCCAGCCACCATTCAGCCAGCCACCACACGCACCTATTCATTGACACCAGTCAATCAGTCAATCAGTCAGTCAGTCAGTCAGTCAGTCAGTCAGTCAGTCAGTCATGGTGAAATAATAAATCCGTTGCTATTAGTGCTGCTGCTGCTGTTGACTGCCGCTGACTGCCGCTGACTGCGAATGATTGAATGGCCAACTGACTTAGTTGACGAAATAAACAAGTAACCAAGTACCTACGTAATTATCCCACCACCGAGCTTCTCTTCCGTGCAGCTCTTGAGATGGTGAGTTTTACTTTGCGTGGGATTTATTTCTTATTTAATTTGTTTGATTTTTATGATTTTTTTGGGGGGGGGAGGGCGGGGTTTCTTCCTTTTTGGGTCTGTTTGGTGTGGGGGGTTGTTGGGGAGGGGATGGGGGGCTGGGTTGTCTCAGGGGGGTATACTACTACTACTAAGTACTAGTATACGGAGTATATCGTCCACTCGCGCCAGACCAGACCAGACAGATCGGGTCCTGTTGTTGTTGTTTTCGTTCGGCTTTTATCGTTTCGGTTTCGGTTGTGTGGGTGGGGGGGTGGTGGGGGTTGTGGCTGTGGCTGTGGGTTGGCGGTGTGTGTGGCAAAAGGGAAAGCGAGCGGGACTTGGCTGTGAGGGGATAGGGCGGGAGGGCTTGGACGTACTACGTCGCAGGCGTAAGTATTACCCCTCGAGGGTAGGGAAAACNGGGGGTTTAAAGTGGAAACTAAACTTTTAAGGCACCCTCGAGGGGTAATACTTACGCCTGTACCGTGGTAGTACCGTATTTACCCACGGTACAGGCCTACAGTAAGTACTAGTACGTACGTATGACCCCTCGAGGGTGCCTCAAAAGTTTAGTTTCCACTTTAAACTCCCTGGTTACCCTACCCTCGAAGGGTAATACTTACGCCCTGGGACGTAGTATCTACTCTTTAAAGGCTTTTAGATATTTTTACTGTATAGGAAGGCTGGATTTTGGACTTGGACGAAGTACCTATGCAAGTTTCCTCTATTTGATACCGTACGTCGCTATATAACACCTAACACCTCAGCAGAAAGAGTGAAATGCATAACAATGCGCTCCGCCTGTCCCCCCCCCCCCGCCTAACGTCTTCGCAACTACCCAATCTTGCCAAAGCTACTTATATGCAATTCAGAATAGCTCTCTATTGGCAACTGAAAGAGGAGATCTTGTCGTCAAAGAGCTCAAGTCCGGGCTCAACCCCGAGTTCCGCAATCCGGCCGGTATAATTAAAAGATCCGGACGCTAGAAGGCACATAGAATCACTAGATATTTTGAGATCAGCTATTGAAAAAAAAAATGAAAAAAAATTCAAGTTGTTAAGGATGAAGTTGAATGCTTACACGAAAAACTCGCATGGTGCACCTCCGGTATCTAAAGAGCTAGCTGTATCCGTAGTTATAGGAAGAATGACTTGAAGCTTGTCAGCTTTCTTTTCAAAGGAAATCAAAACTTTTTTTTTAAAAAAAAAAAGAGTCGAAGAAAGGTGTCTAACCGCAAAGACCGACTGGTGCCTCGGGATAACGGCATGATACAAAGTTAGGATCTTCGCAAAGCGTGATATTCCTTGCGGTTACGGTAGAAGCTGCTAAGATAGCGGCGACGACGATATTGTTGATGAACATCATATTGATCGATTGAAAGAAAACCTGTTCTTTTAATGAATAGATGCTAGGAAGATAAGATAGATAAAGAAGTACGACGGATATGTCTCTCGCGGATTTTGCAGATCGTTAAATATCTTTTGTAAATTTATAAATAACCGAAACTTTTACCGTGTTTCTATTTTACGTGAGTCGTCGCTTTCGTATTGATTCGGGGAGGTTTCAGAGCTATTACGTACTACCACGGTACAAGCCTAGGTACTGTACTAGAATATTTTTCGACTCGAGGAGGGCCAAGTGAAACAAACATACGAAGTACACCACCCCCTTATTCGAGTTTAAAAATTTATTTATATCTTTTAAAACTGAAAGGATGTAAGAAGGCCTACTTAAGCGAGCCGACGATTACGTATTGCTCGTATTTTTTTTATACTTATACTGCTCTCCCCCCCCCCATGAATACATGTCGGACCCAGGTTAGGCTTATGAATCAGAGCGGTGGTTTCTTAATGGCCCAAAGCCTTGTCAACTCTATTGGATTGACTAAATACTGGCTCAAAGATACTTTTCAAAGCTGAATCCTTATAAGTTGATTGGTTTAAGCCTTAGTAGGATCTCTTGCGAAATTATACTTTCGACATGTACTACTATTATTCATAGGGAGGAAAGAATAGCGATAAAAAGTATATATACGAAATTGCCGAGCCACTTTCGCAGTCACAGCTATATAAGATAAGCAATCCCTCTTTGCGGTTTCATTCTTACTACACACTATTATCATAGTGCTCTACAATCTTCCCTCTTATAAGCTCAATTCGTTGGAACGATCACCTTTACTTTCCACCTCCATTATGCGTTTCAACACCAACCTCTTGCTCGCCTCTTTCCTCGGCGTCGCAACCGCCTTCCGTCGAGGCTGCAGGCCCGACCTTACCAGCCAAGTCAGCGGCACCGGCTATTACACCATGACAGACAAAGACACTTGGGACGTCGTCGCGGCGGACTTTTGCACCACTGGCCCCGAGCTGCAAAAGCTGAACCCTGACCCCGCGCCTGCTTCGCAAGGAATTATAAGAGTTCCTTGCAGAGTTCGAAAGCGCGATTGCGCTAGGGTCCCGGGCCAAGATAATGGGTACTATAGGGCCGTCGAGGGCGACGATTTGACCCTTATTGCGACAGATTTCTGCATGACTGTCTATTTTTTACAGTTTCTAAACCCCGGCGTTGAGAATAGCGAGAAAGTCACTCCTGGCACGATCTACAAAGTTAGCTGCACTTTTAACTAGCTACAATGCGTGAAGGCCTTATCCGCTCGCTCGCTTTGCCTACTGCGGGGCTATGATAGGCATGGAATTGGCGACGGAATAAGCTGTGAATTCGACTTCACTCTAGAGTTGGGATCTATTAGGCAGTTGAACTGCTCCTCTTATCTTCTTCGATAATAGGGTTGAGCTCAATATATTTCGAATGGAAGGAGGTGGATAAAAACTAGGTCTCTCTTCATGAGATGTTACATACTTGATTATCAATAAATGAAAACATGATATCGATAAATCGATTCTTAAAGTGACGTATCTTCATATGTACAGAATTTCGATAATTATTATTGCTAATACTTGTTCAGTAATAATATCACATCATAAAAGGAAGCTTCTGATAAATATGGTTGTGATTGACTGACTTATATCCTCTGGAGCTAAGAATTGGGGCGAGGTTGTACATATGTATAGGGGGGAGCTGGTATTGAAGTCATGAGCGAGTGGATAGACCGATACGCGAGCGGTGGCATCGATGGGCCACGAGTGATACTAGTAGCTAGCTCCATAGTTACTACGTCCCAGGCGTAAGTATTACCCCCTGAGGGTAGGGTAACCAGGGGGTTTACAGTGGAAACTTGAACTTTTGAGGCACCCTCAAGAGGTAACAATTACGCCTGTACCGTGGTGGTTAGTACTGGTAGCGAGTGGAATTCGCAAGAAAAGCTCCGAGACATGCGTTCTTGCTTTGGCTACTAGATGATTAGTAATTAGTAGTTAGTATTTAGTAGTAAGTACCGTAAGAGTATGGGGTGGGTATATGAGGGGGTTTTTTTTTAAATGTCTGAATAGCGAGAGAGATGCCGATTCTCGTTAAACATTGAACGCCCGAGCTGCGGTAAAACCGCCATGGCAGATGTGGAAAGTTTGATATTTAGCGACGAGCAGATCCTTAGCTATCCAGAGGCGCAAGAGAAGCGAGAAAGAAGCGAGTTCATAGGATAGCGTCCGTTCGGGAGAATTGACCGCATGGCTAACTAACTCGTACTATATCCACGCTCGCCTGTACGCCCCGAAATCGGGCAAGTCCGCCGACGCCCAAGTACGGCGACTACTGTAGTCTGTAGTCTGGTCTGTACACAGTATCGCACTGGCGCTTAAGGTGAATGAGTGAAGGTTTTGGATCGAGCGTGCGGCTGTCGGCTATAGCAAGCAGAATTGGCGAGCAGGCTAAAGAGGGGGTGGGGGGTTGGGTAGTAATTGTGCTTGCTACTGCTCCATAAGACGGACCGGACGGGTACAAGCGGAACTCTGGTAAAGTCCTCCGTAGTAGTACTACTACTTGGAGTGAAGTTTTTGGAGTTTCAGGGCCTTTTAGAATGCATCGGAGTTAATCGAAAGGAAAGCTCGGAATCGTACGAGTAGACTCGGAAAATCGCGATCGAAGACGCGGCCAAGGACTCTTTTTTCACCCTGGCCCCGTTCCTGGATGCAAAAGCATGGAAGAGTTTCTGATTGTTGTTAACGTCCTCCTACTGTGCTAGGCTTTTAAGTATGAGATGGGTTTTGGTATCTGGCGGTGAAGATGTGGCTAGAAAATAAGGGTCAGCAAGGGGGCTCGGTCTGGTCTATATAGTTGCAATACGCAGAATGTGTGCGGCGGGTACCTGCCAAGTAGCATACTGTCCGTAAGTACAGAGTATGGCAGATATGAATTTAGCCTTTTTTCCCCCCCAAACTGAGCTGTATGTAAGCGCCGATGCGAGATGCTACTGTACTACTGGGACTTGTTGATGCCAAGAGCAAGGAGGGACATCTTAAGCGAGGATATAGAGACTCTGCCGCGGCATATGAGAAAGGAGAAAGGAGAAAGGAGAGAGACAGCGGGCGCAGCTTCTGCGCCTGTCAAAGATTAACCAAATCCGTTTGTCCAGTCTGATAACATTCCCGAAGATGTGGTGGCTCGGCTGTGTGCGCTATTCAGGAGGTGGTGGTGGTGGTGGATTTTGTTTCATATTGCCCTCCTCGACTCCGGCTTACTGAACATGGGAGGATGAGAAGCTCTCAAGGGCCGATAGGAATCCTTGATGGACAACCGAACTTGGTGGTTGAGACGGGATGGGTCAGGAACGGTGACTTGGTCGCGCATAAAGACTTTTCCTTTCGGCTGGGCCGATCTAGATGCAAGCAACGTGCGGTGGCTGCTTGGCAAGATATGTAGGTACCTACCTACTCTCCGGACGGCTGTGGTTTTCCGTCGGTTCGCAGTCGTGGCAGTCAACGGCTTGGCCTGCCTTGCCTTGGCCATCCCGTTGAGCGATATGGATGGATGATGGATGTCTGTCTGAATGGCTGGCAGCGTGTTCTTCTCGCGTTTACTGTTTAGCAAGCAATCAATATGTATGCGTCGAATCGCACCAAGACGAGGTGGTTTTCTGGCCGTGTGTAATAAATACGGTTAAGGAATATGGGATTTCCACCTCTCGATTTGCAAGTCGTCCGTGCGAAGAACACCGCGGGGTTTGCGGTCCAATGTCCGTGGCGATTCGCTTCGCTTCGCTTCGTCCCCCGCAAAAGAGATGGTCTGGACTTCGTTCGGACTTTGGACTCTGGACTGCCCGCGATTACCTCCCAGGCACAAGGCGTTGCAGATGTCTGACATGCCTCTATATTACGACTTGATCCCAGCAGAGGCGTCTGTCTGTCATACTGCGGCAAGGTATGAAATAATCCGGATGACAGCGTTTCTTTCTTGACAACTGCCGGTATGAGCCGGAAGATTTGATGTTGATGATAGGCAAGTATACCTATATAAGGTAAAAGGTCCGTGTACGGAGATCAGAACCGTTAGTGGAGATCATATCGCAATGCTTGTCACTAACGATTCGTGCTTGAATTTTCAGACGGCATGCATGACGATGGCTCGGGAGGGATTTCTTTGTTCATCTCGATAATACTCATTTCCGGTCAGGGAGAGGGGAGAGGGGAGAGGGGGAGAGGGGTTGATAGATACTGCCGCGATTTGATGCAAACCCCCTGTCAGGTACGGGTGCGAAAGCTGCGTCGAGTGGTCGAGATAGCCACATGGTCACGAATACGATCGTAGGTCAACATACTTTCGCTTGTCGGCTGTCGGCTTCCTTTTCTCTCTCTCTCTCTCTCTATCTCTCTCTCTCTCTCCTCTCTACGTACCTATCTCTCTCAAGATTCATGTTCATGAAACGTCATCGTTTCCACGGCCATTCGTTGCTTGTTTACTCCTGGGCGTCATCCTCGGTAGTGTGTCGAGTGCCGACAGGTATCCATCCGTATCTGTACATATTAGACGTGGAGCACACCCCTCACACCGACCCGACTGCGTCAGTGAGCCTCTTCCCACCCAGCACGACTAGCTAGCTACAAGTAGCAAGTTCGTCTCCGTCACTACTGGAACTAAGTATCCTAATCATCGAGTTCGTACATATACTGTGCTGTAGGTGGCTGTAGGTGGCTGTAGGTGGCTGGGCTGGACCCCCACCCACACCATCTTGAGTTTGGCTCACCGCTCCGCTCTGCTCCGCGTGGCAGCAGATCTACTCCAGGTACTTTAAGTATCAACCAAGACTGAGTAAGTACTTGGTACTTGGTCTTCGAGGGCCAGAGTCTCGGCAGCGTCACACTTCCTCAGTTTCGCTAAGCTACTCAACCCAACTCGCTTGTGTCGTCCACATTCCACGGCCCCGTCTCGATCTGGATAGTTTCCGGTGCAGTCCAGTGCAGTGCAGTCCAGTCCGTACAGCTTGTCACCCTATGAAACGTCGGTGTTCAGTTGCAATTGCCTTTTCGCAGCATCCGCGCGACCTCTCAGCGCACCCTCCATCAGCAGCTCGGTTCGCCCCAGCTACGCGAACACCCGAACACGCGAACACGCGAACGAACGAACGAATGAATGTACGACAGAGAATAGGTACCGGTACTGCAACTGCACTGTACTGCAATGTATTACGAGTCAAATCGGTGACAGCGGCTCCGTCGGCAAGGCACAGCCAGCCAGCAAGAGTGAATCGAGTTGCTTGCATCTTTCGGCAATGTCATCAGAGACCGACACTAGTCCCTACCTCTGACCCGCCATGCTTGGTTCTCTCTTATGCTTCTCTTAATCATGAACCCGGCCCGTGACTAGGGGTGCGGGCGAAACAACCTCGTCTATAACGTAGTACCGTAGTATCAACATGCTCCGGCGGACGGAAGTGTATGGAGTATGGAGGATGGAGTATATGAGGGCCGAGTATGAGTATGGAGTATTTACGTACTACTGTATGGATAAGCAACTGTACGATCCAGCCAGGGTCTCCCCGGACAGTGACACCGCTCCCACGCACAAGTGCAAAGTTAGAGCGGGATATTTACACTTACACTTATTGTGACCCACAATTCGCGGGCTCTTATTCTCGTAGGGTACTATATCATACTATATCGTACTAACCATACTAACCATACTAACCACTCGACTATTCCCCTAGTACCTATGTACCTACGTACCTACTACGTACCTGCCTACTTCCCTCAACTACATCTAGTGATGTAGTGAGGTACAATACTGTAGTAGTACTGCAAGCACACAGACCTCCGCGCATCCTTGGCCTGAGGAGCGACGACTTCCTACCAACCACCCACCACCCACCACCACTACGCTCTTGTCAATGTACACAACGTCCGACTACGGTAGTATATCGTGCTCAAGAAATCGAGATGGGAGATCCCATTAAATCCCTGCTAGTTGCAGCACGGAATGACATGGGTGGACTATTGAACCATGTGCAACCAAGCAACCAAGCAACCAAGCAAGTGGGTGCCGTGCGTGCGAGCCTCTGATGTGAGGTAGATATACGGAGTTCCAGCCTTCCTCCCATACTGTTGCTCTCGTCGTTGCAGTGCTTCTGAGAACGAAATACCGTCCGTCGTTTCGTGTGGTATTCTGACTTTTTCCAATTTACTTGAACCTGAACTCTCATGACGCTAACATCCATATGCTACCTACTATCTATCTTTCTGGCTTCTTCAAACCATTGTTCTTCTTTACTTCATCATCATTGGATCTGCTTCATCCCGCCGGCCACTGCACGCGATCGACTTTACAATAACGATGCGTTGACCTCACCTTGGCCATATCAGCACAGGTCTTATTTGAGACGATTGTCCATTCGAAACCCCCTTGGCATTCCGGGACATGAGATATATCGGGTCTGCTTTGATAGCATGTCTTGCCGGCCGTCTGTCACTCGTTGTACTAGGTGAAGCAATATCATCTTCATCTGACCGACCGATACCGAACGTTCTCTTGGATGGAAAGGGAAGCACCGCCAGCGGTTCGTTGGGAATCACTGCAACGACGACAGTCACTGCTACAGTGATATCTTTTCCCAGGACGTCCTCCTCGCCACAATCTTCTGCAGTAGCCACTATCGACACTTCGTCATCCATATCTACGTATCCGCCCATCTCATCAACCTCTAACGCGACAACTACCTCCGAGCCTGATTCAAACCGCATAGAATCGCCAACACCCATGTCTTCCTTTGCTACCACTGCTGGAGATGACTCTCAAAACCGAAAGACAGTCATCATTCTGTCTGCAGTTCTTGGTTCAGTCGGTCTCCTCTCGATTGGAATGGTTGTCTTAGTCATCTACCGCTGCCGTCGGGGGAAATCTCCATTCGGTCATCGAGGAGCATCTCCGATAAATGACGACGAAATCGCATCATGGCGTCAGTCGGGACTAGAAAAGAAGCTCACCATCCCTCCTCCGACCCATCAACCTCCAACCAGGGGCGTGAGCGCGGTGCAAATCCACTCGTCTCGGTGGAAACGGACTGCATCACCGTCCTCTATCCCTACTGTGTCGGCAAACTTGAGCGGTCCTCGAGTCCTCGCTCAGGCACCCAATGCTCGCCTCGGCCTCACAGACGAAGCCGTGCCAGGAGCAGATGCTTTCATCATACCATCTAAACGACGCAGCTCTCGACTATCAAAACTACCCCCTGGACACTCGAGATCGAAGAGCAGTGGGAGTTCGATGAGTGGGAAGAGCCTGTGGAATCTGGAAAGGACTAGCAGCGACTACAGGCAGCCTAAGATGAGCTCGCCGTGGAGCGCTTTTGACGACGCAATAGTCAGCAGCCACTTTGAAAAAGCAGAGCACGGGTCGAGTTCACCGGGCTCATCGCTGTTCGAGGAGACAACAGGAGGCCTGTCACCGAGACCAGAACCTCGGATGAGACCCGGGGAGCGAAATGTCGCTCCCGAGGAAATAGGGAGAGCCATATCATAGGGTATGGGTCTCTGGAGCCCTGGAGAAGCACTCTGCGGGCCACGAGTTCATCTTTGCATATTATTCGATCGCGCACAGTGCGATCAGCACCGTTATGAGTCACGAAAATTTCTCTTCGATTTTGGCGCGCTGCGCAATAGGATGGCGTTTGAGCGGCCAGGCTTCGTCCTGAGGTTGGGCTAGGTGGGGGTAGAGATGATATCCATGGGCATCGAAATGATGATTTGCTTCCTGTTTAGATGAATGAAATGTACAGATTCACTCCGATCATATGCCAGACTCATTATTGAATCAATATATAAATTATTGGCGATTCATATCTGTCTGCTAGTGTTTTTCTATGATCCTTATCTGCTCAAGTAGTCAACCAAGTTCGATATTACAAAGCTTGCAGCTCACTATTTTTGTTGCTTTGGTGACTTATTGTCACGTGTAGGAACACGACTTCGCGTGGCGCGTCACCACCCCCACTCAAAAAAAAGGCGAACCGCCGACCGCAACGTTTCGAGAGTCACTCGACTCGCTTTCTCACAACGCATCATAATATCTACGAAATGCCTCCACGCAAAAGCGACGCCTCGAAAGTAGCGACTGCTGACGAGGCTACGCCTGGAAAAGAGTTGGCTGTTCGAGATGGCATAAATATTGAGGTACGGACGTCCTGCCGCAGCACCCACCATTGCCATTGGGCAGCGCATTGGAAGGGGAGCCAAACTGGAGGAGGGTAATGGGAAAGAGGACAGGAATGCGAGTTTTGCGAGGGCAATGGGACTGATGTGAAAGCAGGATCTCAACCTCCCCAAGAGCATCGTAACGAGGCTGGCCAAAGGTGTCTTACCGCCCAATACACAGATCCAAGGGAACGCCATGGTGGCCATCTCCAAGAGCGCCACCGTGTTTGTCAATTACGTAGCTTCGCAGTAGGACCTTCCTTCTTCTCTTGATCCACCTCCTCACCAAGCATCCGTGGGCTGACATTGTTGACGGATGGCAGCGCCAACGAACATGCGGCAACTCATAACCGAAAAACCATTGGGCCGCAGGACATCTTCAACGCGCTGGATGATCTCGATTTCCCGGATTTCAGAGACCGGCTGGAGGCTGATCTCGCGAGTACGTTATACAGGGCAGAAAGGGTGTAGACGGGAGAGAGGGTGGTGGGGATAATGGCTGATATGGTGATGTTGCAGGATTCCACGAAGTGCAAACAGACAAACGGAATGCCTACCGCAGCAAGACAGCGAGCAAGGCCGCAGACGCAGACGCAGGCGATGACCAGGGTGCAGAAGATAAGGATGGTCAACCTGCCGCGAAGAAGGCACGGTTAGACCCTGGAGCGGAGGAGGAGGAGGAGGAAAATGGCGAGGAGGAGGCGGGGGATGCGGAGCGGACTCCAGAAGACGAAGCTGAGGATGATGAAGGAGACGTCCCGGAAGAAGAAGAGGGGGAAGAGGAGGAGGAGAGACCGGAGAGTGAGGAACAGTTGGAGGAGGACGAGAAGAAGGAGGCCGAGGACGAAGCGCTGGACAATGGGGAGGATAGTGATTGAGGCTTTCCAAAAGCGTGGGTTTTTTGATATCTGGAAAGGGATGTGCATTGGTGGAGTTCGGGAGGTTTGGGAGTTTCCTGGCTAGCTTACGGAGGCCGTAAGAAGGATATTTCGAGTTCATGGTGTCTTCGGTCTGGATCGGCTCGGTGTACATTCTGGCAGGACGCAGGTGGCTTTGGAAAATCGCAAGCAACCGAGTTACAGAGTGAGCTTCAAATCTCTCTACCGGGCTTGGCATGAGGTGCTCCAGACATCTATTCCGTTTTGGATTCGGGTTTGAGCTTGATATCAGAGCCCTAAGCTCTTTGTATATATCCTCAACTAATCCATCCGGACATCTTCTCGGAATTCTTCGTGTCTTTCCTTTCGTCCTTCTCCAGAATGTCCCTCACTTATCACTCTGCTTTCTAGCAATCTTAGCTTTTATCTCTTACACTCAACTTCTGATGTCCCTCATTATCCTCTGACCTGCTTCTCACCGTCTCCTCGTTGAGCTTAAGCTCGAGCTCGCAACCTTCTTCTCGCGCTGCTATCTTCCCTCCCTGTCCACCCCCTCTTCCCCTTTCCAGCTTCAAACCCGCTCTCATCATCTTCATCCCGTCGTCACCTTTCCTCCCCGCCCCTCTCTCCCAGATCCAACCATGCCACCATCTCTAATTCCCATTCCACTACCTCGCTACTCTGACTCCCCTCCCATCAAAAAGCCGGCATTACGAACCACCCTCTGAAGCTTTCCTACACTTTTCACTCAGCAGTCTTCAAAGCAAGCCCTGTCTCCTATCAGATTCAAGAACGGGAGGGGAAGGCGTCACGCACCCTTTCTTTCGCAATAAGCGCAATGAGCTCTTAGGGTTTCCAAGAAGCAGCCTGTTACCCCGTCCTCTACGTACATGGCGCCCTTCACTCTCCTTCATACGTACCACTTGGTTTTGCTGTAGGGTAGGGTAGGGCTCTCTCCGTCCTTTTTCCATCCTCTCCTCTCCATCCGCTCCATCCTCTCCGCAGCCCGATCGATCGATACCTGCAAGTTCTTTTTTTTTTTTTTTTCATTCCAAGATGATCGTCGCCTGAGGAAGGAAAGTCATCAGCGAGAGCGTTCTTCTGCTTCTTCAACTTTCAAGTCTTTTTTTTTACGGCTCAAGCTTCCCCTGATTCAAATATGGTTCCCGTCAGCTCTCTGGTGCGAGATATGGATCAATTCTCGGTTGAGCACGCGAGGTTTTCTCTCCCTTTGCCCGACTGAGGCGAGACTGACACAGCGCCGAGTTTTGGGGGGGGGGGGGGGGGGTAGAAGGAAGAAAGAAGAAGAAGAGAAGAAGAA